TCTCCTTCCTTGCCTGTCCCTTCTGAAGAGTTTGTAGCCATCCATTGCAGCACTCCAGTCATGGGAGGCATCCCACCACGTTTCTGTGATGGCGACTACATCATAGCCATCCTGCTGCACAATGGCTTCCAGCTCCTCCCGTTTGTTGCCCATGCTGCGTGCATTAGTGTGGATGCACTTGAGCTGGGCTATCGGTTTCACCCCCAGCAATGGGGTCACACCCCCAGGCTCCTCTCTAGTGAGCCTGTTTGTATCCCCTCCCCCCTTCAGGCCTAGTTTAAAGCCCTCTCCACAAGCCCTGCCAGTTCATGAGCGAGGATCCTTTTCCCTCTTTGAGAGAGCTGGGCATCATCTGTTGTCAACAGGCCCGGTTCTGTGTAAACCTCCCCATGATCAAAGAACCCCAAGCCCCCCCGATGGCACCAACCTTTGAGCCACGTGTTAACCAGTCTAGTTTTCCTGTTCCTTTCCGTGTTCCTCCCTGCCAGTAACAGGATCAAGGAGAACACTTCCTGCACTCCTGATACTTCAACCAATTTTCCCAGTGCCCTGAAGTCCCTTTTGATCGATTTGGAGCTTCGCTCTGACAACTCATCACTGCCTGCCTGAGCAGTCAATAGCGGATAGTAATCAGAGGGCCATACCAGACCAGGGAGTCTCTTTGCAATGTCCCTGACCCAAGCCCCAGGGAGGCAGCAGACTTCCCTGTGGGATGGGTCCGGTCGGCATATCAGGCCCTCCGTTCCCTTCGGAAGTGAATCACCCACAACAATTACCCTTCTTTTTTTCTTAGCACAGGCAGTCCTGATAGGTAGGGGTGACCTACTCTCCCTAGCCAACCCCCTGGATGGACCTTCATCCCCATCCTCATTTGCCTGGCAAATGAGGTGCCAGGACTCAAGTTGCAGGCCAGAACTCAACTGTATGCCAAGCAAGAACACTTGGAGAATGTGTGATCCAACAGGTTTAGTTTTCACCCAGAAATTGTGGGGGACACCATGTGGTGGTGGGGTATCATCCAGTGGTCCTAGGAACACGCAGAATTGCTGTGGTGCATGCCAGAGAGCTCGGAAGATGCTTGAGGTGCCTTCCAAGTAGGGCACTGAGAGACCTAGGCCCTGCTCCCATGCCTGCACACATGGCCCAGCACCAAGTCACTCTACTTTCTGGCCCAGCTCACCCATCTGTAAGATGCAGCTGCTTTCATAAAGCCCTCTGCGACACAGCTGAAGAGCTAACAACACCTATAGCCTAGACGCTGCAAGACCACAACTTCTTACAGTGATGGAGCATTACAAAGGCTGATACAGTCTTGTCACCCTTTCCAGTGGTTCCAGTGTAACAATGCTGTTTGCTTCAGGCCTCCCAAAGGCCTGATTCTGGTGCCACTGATTGTTCTGCAGGAGGAAAGATGGCTTTGCCTGGAGGAAGGCTGACTGGCAGAAAAAAAAAGGCTTGAATTTATTCTTTATGCTCCTTGGTTGAAGGAGATCTGTTAGGGCCACCTAACTGGATGTCCATGTGATGTTGCTCTGTGCAGGTTTGTGGGAAACAGCTTCTGAGCTTGGGAGGTGCTGCAAGGTTCAGCTTTTGTGCAGGTGGGCTGATCCGTGGCTGGTGAGGACTGCAAGGAGCAGCAGCTGTGGCCTGCAGCTGAGATGGTGCACAGGAGGCCAGCAAGGGGAGGTGGTGCTTGCCGGATGCCCACACAGCAGCTTGGGGCTACAGCCAGGAATGGAACTTGGGTTTCCTTTCCCAGAGCATCGACTGCCCTGCTAACAGAGCAGCAAGTGGTGTCCTCGAGTCCTGTCAGAAAAGCAGGAGTAGCTGAGGAAAGGTCCTCCCTCCCCAGGCCGCCGAGTTGACACGTGTCTTTCCAAATAACAAACTTCCCTCCTTCCTTTCTCCCCAGCTTCTGCCTTTCATAGCCTCAGGGGGACGCTGGAGGCAGCCCCAGGTGGCCTGCAGCACTAAGGAAGAAAGCGCTGCAAGAACCGTCGGGCGGTACCCGGTACCCAACAAGAAGGACATGCCATATGACATCGTGGAGCTCATGGAGGAAGTAGAAATGAAGGTAGGAGAGTTCTGCTGCGAAACTCTGTTATTGGAAAGGGTCCAAAGTCTGAGTAGGTCATACACCATAAGAGAGACGTTGTGGTCCAGTTAGGTCTAACACAAACCTGATAGGAGGCTGAGGTGAGTAGCACTTCTTGCAAAACTCCTTTCAGTCTACAGGATGGGGATTTTATTGAAGCTCCTGCAGTGTGTTGGCAGGACTGTAAAGCTCCCTGGTTCCATGAGACTAGTGGGTTGTTTCAGATGATGTCTCATGCACAGGGTTAGCTGGAACACTGACATGTATTTGTTTTTCTGGGAAAGCATCTGTGTTTACTTGAGACACTGTTAGGAGTGTTCTTAACACTTTTAATGGAGAAAAAATGGGAGGAGCTGTTTTGATGACAGTATTAAGAGACTTGGGGGGGCATTTCTGCTTTTGGGTTTTGACTTTTTTTTTCCAAAGCTAAACAGGCTGCACAATGGCATTAGTAAGCCTCACGCAAAACTGTGTTTAGGGGGGAAAAAGAGGGAATTGGACAAGAGTCGCCTTCCCTGCTGTTGCAGAGAAGGAATGCCACACAGTCCTTCCTAACAGGTAAAATGCTCCACCAGCCACAGCTCCACGGAGACTTCTCTCTTCCAAGAGCTTCCTCTCAGGGGAGTCCTGGTCCATCTCTCCCTATCCTTATGCCAGCCTGTTGAATCTGTGCTCTACTACTGCTGCAGTGGCCCCGGTGAAGTCTGTGTAATAATGAAAGGAGTCAGCAGACTTGAGGGCAAATATGGTGTACAGAGGAAGAGTCAGTTCCAATTTCACGTGCTGTGATGCGAACCTCTGTGTGTCAGTGCACTGAAGGGGTCAGCAAAGACCTGTGCATAGGATCCAATCAACCTAGGAGACTTGGGTATCTAAACAGTGCTGCCAACCTCTGTTGCCAGAGGCTCCTGGGTAAACTAATGGGTTGTGGATGAAGAGGGAACAGACTCCCCGTGGCTAACTAGCAGTAAACAGGTGGGTGAGACAGGAGGAAGGCACAGGCAATTGTGTGGCAGTGGAGGGAGGTCACCAGAGGGGTCTCTTGACACCTGGGCTACTCTCCTTTTCCATAAACACTCTGCAGAACAGTAGCTGGTAAGCTGATGGAGCCTGTGGGGCAGTTAGCGCAATCACAGTGAACCCAGACTGTTTAGAACTGTAGTGGGCAGCCAGGCACTGAGGCTGAACTCCTGCTGATAAATGCCAGCTGCTGGGACCCAGGCTGCTGGGACCCAGGCTGGGATCCTGCACACGAGAGGCAGCAAGCGATTCTCTGGGAAATGCAGCCCTGCACACCATCACAGACATGGTCTGGGCATTGGCAGTTACTGGGGGCAGAACAGGGAGAGAAGTAGAGCAGCTTTGTTGTGCCAGCATATACATCCACTGTGTGCCAGCACCTCAAAGGGCGTGCTGTTTGGATTGGGCCGGCCCTGTCTTGCATCCTGTAAGCTTGGAGGGAAGAGGAGAATTACAGAAGGTTTAGGATGGTCCAATGGGCATAGCAGCATCTGTGCACAGAGACCAAGTGGAGACAGCGTCTTGGTTTGGAAAGGAGCTTGCTGGTGTGACTGTGGTCATTACTGCTGTGGCTGAAGCAAGCAGGGCAATTGGTCATGCTCTGAAACGGCAGCAAAATCTAATTAAGAACCACATAATTACGTGTTCAGCCATATGTATAAATGGGCTCAAAGGGCAAGAGAACGGGTCTGCAGAGATTCCCCAGCACTGCTGTGCTAGTGTTGTTCTCTAAGCTTAGTGCTTTAATGTCGCCCTCTGTGCTCTGTGTTGTTACAGTTCTTGACTTGTTTTTCTTTTTCCTTGAACAGACTGGATTTCTGCCCAATGTGTTCAAAGCCATGTCTCACCGACCTGCTGAATTCAGAGCTTTTTTTGCTTATTACAATGCCATTATGAACAAAGACACAGGTAAACCATACAACCACCTCAAAACTGCCCTTTGCCCTTTGTAGATGCAAAAAGTTGCTAGAAGCGACATGTTTGACATCCTCAGATGTAGTGCCTCACCATACCTTCTCCCAGCCCATAGTAACAGCTGGCAGAGGCTGGAACTGCACAGCTACTTCTGTCTTCGCTCATACTGCGTATAGATTCACACTCTTCAGCTTGCGGTTAAAAAGCAGCTCTCAGGCCAAGCTCTGCTGACTTGCTGCGCCATGCTCTGTGTCATGGGAAAGGATAGGCTACTGCCTTAAAGGAAGATGAGCCAGGAGCCGAGTGTGCGGGAAGAGCACAGTGGTTTCATAGGTAACACTACAGCCCATGCTGTCGGAGCAAGGCAAGCAGGGTAGTTCCGGTAGTGGTGACCAAGGTCAGCCAGGAGTCTAGATTCCCCAGGCAAGTCCATGGGGATGAGGCAGATCCAAGGTCAAGCCAGAAAGTCATTCTGGGGATCAGCCAGGTTCCAGACCAGCAGGGTTATGCAGCCAGGCACCACAGCCACAATGTGGCTCAGGTGGGGTCACAGCCAAGGGCCCAGCATGAAACAACTCCCAAGGGAGGGGCAGGTCCTTGCTGAGCCTGCCTGCAGCTCTTCCTTAACAACAATTCTTGGCAGTGAGCTGCCCATGAGCAGTGCTCAAAATTTGTGTGTGGGAGGCTATACCCTCTGGGCCCTGACATGCTTCACCAGGGACTTTGAACCCGGGGCTGTCCTTTACCCTGCAGTAGCAGGGAGAGGACCAAGGTGCTTGCTGAGCGCTGGGATGCCTGTGCAGCAGGTGGCCTCGGGTGCCCCGGCATGGAGATGAGGGAGGGCTGGCTGCAGCGGTGCTGCTGTGCAGGTCTGTAGGGAACCCTGCACAAGTCTCCAGCCTTTGATGAAACACAGTTTGAGGACTGCCTGCTCCTCCCTCATACTTCCTGTGGTACAGGCACTGAGCGGCCTGTTGTCATTGCTTTTGCTCTGAAGGTGCACTAGTAAAACCAGGATTTTGTAAATAAGTTGCATGTGGAGACTGCTCCTCCTGCTTATGGGAGATGAGGGCTTGGGAGGCGTGTTTTGGCAAGGAGTGCAGCCTTCTGCCTCTCCCACGTGCTACATTCAGTCTCTGTATGAAGCCTTCTGCTCTGCTTGTGGTGCTGGAGTGAAGCCAGGCCCCTAGCTGTATGGGGGTCTGTTTTTCCCTTCTCGTTCCCATGCTTCCTTTTTGACTTGAAGAGTAGGACTATTTTGGATCCCACCCTTTTCAGCATCTCTCCTGCAGTATCACAGCACCGCCAACTTCTAGCACTGAACCAGAGCAAGAAGGGCTCTTCTCCTGACTCCTCTTTTCCCAGAAGGTTTTAGTAGTGTCTTTCATGCTCTTAGAAGACACTGGTTTTATGGAAATATTTTCAAAGTCCAGTGAAGTAGTAGCTTTTGTGGGGAGGAGGAGGGACCCTGACTTTCCCTGTGAAGTGTAGCTTCAAAAAAACCCTGCTGCTAATTATCTTAAAAAAGGCAGAGCATGAGTGCTGATACACAGCCAGGTAAGTTCTTCAGATCCTGTGCACAGTCCTGTTGTGAAGCTGCTTGTGGATATGATTAGGATTGATTCTGAATATGACAAAGCACAGCCTTCTTTTCCACAGTTTCTTTAGAGCAGTCACAGGGCTAGGCACTCTGTAGAAGTTGTGGTTTGTCTGTGTGGTGGTTACTAGAAATTCTCAAAGCCCCAGTCCTAGGGTACCTCATTGTTTCATTTCTTTCTGCCTTCAAAAGCTGCCAATAATGTTTACTTGCTGAAACCTGCTTAGTGGGTTTTAGAACACTGCACTTTTCTGTAAGAGCAGCAATAAAGCATCAGAGGAAGAACAGACAACACCCTCGCTAGACATTTGCCTCTGAGACACACATGGAGAAATATCAACCAAGCTTCCTACCTCTGAACAAGTAATTTTGCTCCTCTGAGTTTTCCTGTTACGTAGAATTGTTGTTTCCCTGTTGACGAAATCTCATGTCCCTCATCCTGATTACATGCCTCATGAGCAACTACCCAGGTAAATTGGTCACAAGGGTGATAACAGTATCACAGAATGGTTTGGGTTGAAAGGGACCTTTAAAGATCATCTAGTCCAACACACCCCCCACCATGGGCAGGGAAGTCTTACACCAGACTAGGATGCTCAAAGTCCCGTCCATCCTGGCCTTGCACACTTCAGGGGTGAGACATCCACAATTTCTCTGGACAACCTGTCCCAGTGTCTCAGCACCCTCACTGTAAAACATTGTCTCCTTATGTCTGGTCTAGACTTACTGTCTTTCAGTTTAAAAGCATTGCCCCTTGCCTGTCATCTAGGAGCTTTGCTTGCAGTGTCTCCCTGCATGCTCTCTGGAGCTCTGTCTCCTGGGCTGTATTGCAGGCAGCTTGTACCCAGAGCCCTCCCCTCCCTGTTTCTTCAGTGATACGTGCCATGGTGGATGTTTTTAACAGCAAAGTGCGCCAATTCTTTTGCTGTCCCTGTAGGGCGACTCAGCAAGGCAGACAAAGAGCTCATAATTGTGGCTACAAGCGCTGTGAATAGATGTCCCTACTGTGTGGTTGCACATGGAGCACTTCATCGGATATATTCTAAGCAGCCAGCGCTGGCTGACCAGGTCAGTGGGGTTACAATAGCATGCATATATTTGAACCTCTATATTTTGAACCTTTGATCTATGTGGTTCCCAGAAATCTTGAGCAATTTTGACACGCCTGGGGCCCTAAATCAATGCCTGCCTTACTAGGTTTATTGGAGAGCAGTCAGACCAGTAGCCAGTGGGGACAGGACCTCGAGGTGGGGGTCTGTGTATCCTCATCCACCTTCCAGGCAAGGTGTGGGGACGGATGGTTGGCCTGCAGAGCATTTGTCCTGCTGCCCACATTCTGTACTATTTTACTCTGGTCTGTGAAGGAACTTGCTACCAAAGGGGAGCTGCAGCATCCTGGTGGTGTTTGGTCCTGTTTCAAGAACTCCATCACAGCCTGCTCAGCAAAACTGCCACAGTCCCTGAGATGACAAGGGTGGTAAAATAGATGAGTCTTTTGCCCGATGGTGGCCAGGATGTCTGGTTCAGGTGCTGAGTAAGAGCCTGCGTACCGTCATCTCTTTGGTTTGCGGAGCAAAGAAGGTGGTCAGCCAGTTAGAGTGTTTGCTGGGTCCATCTGTGCTACCTCTGGTTTCTGCCTTCTCACAGGTCATTGTGAACTGGAAGCTGGCTGACCTGAGTGACCGGGACCTGGCAATGCTGGAGTTTGCTCTTGCAGTCTGTCGAGCTGATAACATCACTGAAGAGCATTTTCAGAAGCTGGAGAGGCATGGTTTTGACCGTGAAGATGCCTGGGACATAGGCATGATTTCTGCTTTTTTTGCTATGTCTAATCGCATAGCTCATTATATTGACCTGCGCCCAAACAAGGAATTCTACACCATGGGCAGGACGCCCTGTGGAGAGAAGGGGGATGCTGAGCACGCCTGACGTGGCTCTCTGATGCGCTTCCAAGATTGATGAATCTCCTGGTTACCAAGCTAGTGTGGCTTATTTCTGAATGGGTAAAAGGGTTAAAAAGTTAATGCCAGATTGTAGCCATGGGGGATGGTGGGCTTCCCCTTGCCCAGGCCTTCGGGCGGGCTCCGGTGCTTCTGCACTCCTAGCACAGCGGGAAGCTTGCGGCTCTGGTCTCGGCACCGGCCGCGCGGGCGACGGGCTCGCGGGGTCGCGACGTGGCTGT